GTCGATAGCCAATGTCTCATAATTGAATTTAATCTAGTGAAGCTACTGGAGATAAAGATCAATATAGCTCACTATCAGTGTCCCTTAATGCCTTGAGCCATTAAATGTACTGGATAAAGAAATTACAATATGAAAACCATCTGTTTTAATGGTGGACAGTGTCAGGCCAATGTCTTGAAAATAGTATTATTCTTTTGAGCTAAAACTGTTAGATTACTGTCTGTCACTCACCATCCACTGAGCCTACACATTTCTCATTTCTTGCCATTTTCATTCAGATTCATTTCTTCTTATTTCACATTAATTTTTGAAGTGATGTTAGTTTAATGTCAATCTCACCACTCATCTTTTTAACATGACACAGTTTTCATACACATTTCCTCACTTTCATCTCCCATGAGCCTGCTGCTAAACTCCACTCAAAAATCCAAAGTAATGGAAATACAATTTTATCAATGAGAAAATTGTTTTTAATAATAGCCTATAGATTAAAACAATTTTTGTGTTTCAAAGGTAGAGACATTGTTTTTAGTCATCTTTTCAAAATGTATTAATTTATAATTAAAATGAAACCTGGATTGAAGATGTACCTTTGTCTTTCACTATGGATCCTGAGCCGTTTGAACATTCCTGATTTTAATCACTTGTCTATTGGTGGTCATGTCTCCAGCTGTCTGGGTCCTCATCCCTGGAATTTTCTCCCTACCTCCCTTTTACCCTTTAAGGTGCTCCTTAAATCTATCTGACCAAGGTTTTAGTGAATTGTCCTAATATCACTTTATGGGTCCGGTTTTAAATTTGATTTGATTATACTCCTGGATAGCACTTTGAGATATTTTGTGACATTGATGCTGTACAATTTGTTATTACTTTTGTTGAATGCATGTTGATTTTAAAATAAACATATTTTTGCTTTATAAGTGAGAGCCATTCTTTTTCTTCGCTAGTGTTGATATCTGCAATAAAATGTTCAATAAAAAGTTGTTGAATAACATTGCTTGGACCAAACAATTTCATTTTGAAGCATATTGCAGGACTAAAGCATGAGAAATGTATTTCCATTGCAATAGAGAGCATGTTCATTAAAAAAAGTCCCTCAGAATATTTACATTTGGAATTACATGCCTAGCTGTCAGCAACATTGGCTTACTTTATTTTAGTTTAAAAAAGCCTTTAGGCAGAGAAAATGATCTCAACTCTGAGATTAATTGCACAGCAGTCATCAGTTTGTGACAGACCGTGTACATCAATAGGCAGTCAGACATCAATTTATTCCATCTTATTCAGTACACTGAGAAAAACATTCAATGTTTCATTTATATGCAACAGTAAAAGGATAGATTTCAGCTTCAACACCGAAAAATTGCCACATTCAGTTCCTCTTGGCATTTTAGTGCACAATCCCATTAATTTGATTGTTCCGGTTTCACTGAAATTTAGATTTTACTGACAGCAGCTTCACAGATAAATGCAATACAAATTTAATCTAGCAACAATTTCTAACATCATTGACAAGATAAAAAATCAACTCAGAATGTTGTGTGCACAAATCAGAGAATATATACATCCTGTTTGCTGTCACACTGAGCTGTGCTGAACATGATCTGAATTCATAATTCATTATTATCTGGATTAAGAAAATAGCCGAATACGGTCAGAATGCTATAAATATTTATACACAAATTCAAATAATCTTGTATATTTTACATAGGTTTAAATTTATGGAGTAGAATACTCATAGAGAATCCTAATTATAGCCGAAGAATATCTTTTCACAACATTGTGACATAATCTACAATGCAGACTCATTTTAACAGTATCACTAGCTATAATCATAGTAACTATGAATCAGAATGATAGTCATTCTAGATTTATAAGCAATCCAGGAAAATAAGTATACTTAATTAATTTATCAGATCAAAATTACCTACTTTTTCTGAAGATGTTATTATTGGTAGATGTAAATATTTTTTGCTATTATGTTACTTCCTTAAATTTTCTCTTGCTTTCCTGCCCAACGTAGGTACCCTTCATAATATAGGTCAGATATTGAAATCCATCAATACGCATCCATGATGGACACATAGGAAGAATAACAGAAGATAGCTCCCCACAATGACCGAGTGGATGGTGCACAGCCAGTTGTTAGTGCATGTCTAATGTAACGCTGAACAACACAGATCAAAAATATGTCATATTTGATGCTTAGTCTGTGCTGTCATAACTTATCTCAGTCAGGAGACAGACAGAGGTGACCTAAGTGCTTCAGAAATGTCGAATGAAAAATATCAGCCGGTGATCCCTGGTCTTGATTGCTGTTAAGAAACACTTACTGGGAAAATTTGACATTCACATTTTGCTGATACTTTACATTCATATATAAAATTATCCACTTGTATGAGTGGCCACTTCTGTGATTTCAAGTATTTAAAAACATCTTGCATTCATGTAGTTCCTTTAATGTGATAAAACATCTCAAAATAAGGCACTTCACAAGAGTGTTTAGCAATCCAAATTCAGCACTAAGCCACATGACAAGATATTAGCACAGGTGAGATAGATGCTAAAGGTGGAGAGAGAGGTAGAAACATGGTAAGGCTTATGGAGGAAATTCTGGAGCTTGGGATCCAGACAGCCAAAGGCATGTCCTGTCAATGGTGAAGCAACAAAACTGAAAGATGTTCAAGGGATAGGAATTGAAGGAGCACAGAGATGTCAGAGGGCTGTAGGGTGTAGGGCTGGATCACATTACAGACAGATAGATATGGGGCAGCAAAGCCAAAAAATGAGGTGTAAATAATGATGGCACTTTTAAAATCAAAGCATTTTTGGCCTGTAAGCCAACGTGGGTCAATGAGCAGAGAGGTGATAGGTGTGAGTTACAATATAAGAAGCAGAGTTTTAGATGAGTTCACCCTTGAGTTGTGTCCCAAGATGATGCCTTGCTGAGAAGAAATAGCTCTGAGCTCCTTTGGGAGGCATGGTCTGTATTTTCTAACCTAGGGGCATTATTTAACTGTGCTGAACCCTTTGGTTTTTCCATTCCTGTGACCCTCAGGTTCATTAAATATGAAATGTCAGCTCCTGGCACATTGAGAGAGTACCTAAGGAACTGGAGGACTCCTAAAGGAGGAGAATACGAGTTCAGAGAACAGAAAGAAAGGATCATTGCCTGAACTCTCACATCTTGCTGCTCTCTGGAGCAGAAGACAAATAAAAGTGGTTTAGCACACTGTCTTAGCTATTCAGGTGTGACAGCAGAGTAGCACAGAGACTCCCTCAATCCAGCCAAATGTTACTGAAAGTTGTCACTTCATCAATTAAAATACCTCGGTCCATAGATGGTGATGCCTTTAGGAGGCTGATGGCTTTGCATTTGATGATACTTTTGAGGAACTGTGGAATTTTAGACCAATGTTACACAGTCAGCTACATTCAGGGCAATCTCAGGGCTGCAGAACTATAGAATTGGTGTATATTCACATAAAGGAAAGGCTGCTGTAGCCCGAACAGACCACAGGGCGGTTCTCCCATTAGAGAGAAGGAGAGAGAGAGACATACAACTGGTGGTGGTGATTTGGCCTGAGGGTTACTACACCTGAGGTGAGGGAAGAGGTTTAGGAGAGTCCTTCAGGCTAGCCTTCAGTCTATGGAGGAATTGAACCCAATGCTCTTGGCATCAGTCTACATCACAAACTGGCTTTCTAACCGACTAAGCTTGCAATAAAAATCCAAAATGCTGGAATAAAGACCCAATGGATAAGGCAGTATGTGCAGAGAGGGAGCTCACAGACCTGATTTGTTTTTCTCTGTCTACTCATAAGCTGCTTGACTTACTGAGTGATTTTAAGTTGCAATTTCAGACTGTCACCAAGCACAGCGTTTTTCAAATTTCACAGAATGCAGCGTCGTTCGCTCCTGTCACCTCAGGGCCTTGAAAATCAAAAACATTTCATTATTTCTTATCGTGCTCGAAGCTTCTGAAATGTCTTGGAAGCTGTGATGAAATATTAGAATATTTTGCAGGCTATTTTACGTTGCAGCCATTCCATTAGTGAGTGCCTGGTTTGAAAATACCTTTAGGAAGAAACACATTTCCCTTTTAGTTATTGTAAGGTGATAAAAGAACTCGGTTTGTACTATAATGCTCGCAGTTTATCGTTAAAATCGCGACTGGACATCTTCGCGTTTTTAATTTTTTTTGATGAGTTAGTAAAGCTTTTGTCATTTTTCACACCTCGTGAAAATGAACAAGAAGATGATTTAAAATAACTGATGATGTCTGTTACTGCTAGCAGTACTGGGCAAATTTATTATCAAGTCATTCTTGTTAGCTAATGCTTATAAAATGCAAACTTTTTTTACAAAAAGTACAAGAACAGAATGCAATGGTTGTAAACTCAGCAGAGCCACAACTTGTTGAATCCAGTTTCATACTGTATCTATTTCCTAATCACCCGGTTCAAAGATGTTACTACACACCACTGGAGCACGTAAGACTTGAACCCAGGCCTCCTAGCTCAGAGGTGGGGACAAACTTTAACAGCTGAGATTCAATTTAAAAGCAGATTTGCAAACCGTCATGAGCCGGGAATGGAACGCGGATTAACTGCTTATAAAGCAGCTACCCTCACCAGCACACCGCCATCGATCACTCACAGAGTCTACAGCCTGGCTGGGAAATGTGAATATTATTAAAAACCGATTCACTCACCGCCTTTGAACCGAAGTCGAGAGGACAGTCTCCCCGGTGTGAACCACCCTGCACACTCTGTGGAAAACCCTTCCACTTCTGCGGTCACGTCTGCTCCGTTTTATAAATGAAAAATTGCTCGCGTCAATCTCAAAGCACACCCTGCACGATGGTCAATGTTAAACTCTGCCTGTTCAAGGGAATTGAATCTTTTGACAAAAACAGCAGGCTTTCAATCAACAGCGCAGTGCCCTGTTGCTATGAGAGCAGAGAGAGAGAGAGGTGTGCTGTTTTGAACTGTGGTCACCAGACAGGCAACAACTGGTGACCGCTCTGCCCGCTTTCCCCACAACCTCCTGCTGACTCCGCCGGTCTCCTCGCGGGTTGTCAGCATCAGATGGCGTACGCGTGGTCCACATCCCGACAGATGTACCAGAGGATCACGTAGAGGATCAGCAGGATGGCGAAGAGGAAGAGCGCCACGAAAATGGCTTTGGTGACAGGAGAGACCAGAGGATGCATGGTGAGGGTGAGCAGGCAGCGCTGAGTACGGAGCGCACTATCCCGAGCAGTTCGGCAGGCAGACCTCTGTCATTGAGAACCATCACACAGACACTGCCGGGGCACCAACTGGATGGAGAGCTCATTAACCAGCCAGTTCCATTCGCCACTGAAACCCAGCTCTCAGTCAGGGACTTACAACCATCTCCAGCCCAGACCTCTGTCCCGCCCCCCCCAAAACTCGCTCTCCCTGGAGCTTTTGGGGAGAATTCACGCGTCACTGCAAAAGACGCAAAATTCACAGAACATCACTTAGTTTCAGTTTGGATGCGATTCCTCCCGAGACTGTCAGAGACTCTGCAGCGAATCTCATTGTATTTACCAGATTAAACCTGAAGACATGAAGACTAACCCTAACCTTAACTATAACAGAGACAAAAACAGAAGTTGCTGAAAAGGTTCAGCAGGTTTGGCAGCATCTGCAAACAGAAAATCAGAGTTCATGCTTCGGGTCCGGTGACCCTTCCTCAGAACTTGCCAGAGAAGCTCAGCAGGTCTGGCAGGGAGAGAGGCAGCAGAGTTACTGTTTCCAGTTCAGTGACCCTGTTTCAGAACCTGAACGCATCTCTTCACAGCCGCACCAAAGGATAATTCTGTGATCTTTATGGAAACTTGTCGCTTTTATCTGCTGACACCAGCAAACAAAACTACACAATATCTCACCAGTATGGTAAATATGTTGATCTGAGTCCTAAATACATCCTTCTCGCGTTTGAAATCTTTGCCCTCCTCCCACTATATTTGTGTGGGGGATGTGTGTGTCATTGGCTTGGGCCCGCATTTATTGCCTATCCCTAATTGCCCAGAGAGTGGTTAAGAGTCAACCACATTGCTGTAGGCCTGGAGTCACATGGAAGCCAGACTGGGTAAGGGCAGCAGATTTCCTTCCATAAAAGATATTGGTGAACCAATTAGAGATAACACAGTGTGGAACTGGAGGAACACAGCAGGTCGGGCAGCATCAGAGGAGCTGGAAAGCCGATGTGTCAGGTCAGAACCCTTTATCATGACCTAATGAAGGGTCCCGACCTGAAACGTCAGCTTTCCTGTTCCTCTGATGCTGCCTGGCCTGCTGTGTTCTCCCAACTCCAGCTGTGTTATCCCAGACTCCAGGATACGGCTTACTATCTCTTAGTGAACCAATTAGTTTTTTTTTCTGTCGCAGTGCACAGTGGTTACATGTTCACCACAAAGCTAGCTTTCACTTCTAGTAATTTTTAAATTGAATTTAAATTTCACCATTTACCATATCCCCATCACATTAGCCTGGGTCGCTGGATGACTAGTGGAGTGACACTACCATTACAACATTGCCTGAACTGGATTCATTTTTCCCAAACTGTGAATTATGATATCCAATGTATCTCTGCAAAATTATCTTTAAACTATTTCGAAATGTCTGCAGTCTCTCCTTCTGTCATTCTTGTCTCAGAAGATTGTGATATTCAGGTCCCACTCACAGATTGAAGCTAACACTCCAGTGTAATGGTGGGGGAGTGCTGCACTGTTGGAGATGCTTTCAGAAATCACATCAAATAGGCCCTCTGTCTGCTGTTTCATGTGGATGGAAACGGTTCCAGCGAATTTTAGCAAAGGTTTTTATCACTGGTAGTCAAACCTAAAACAATTATCTGGTAATGTGAAAGCAAAATACTGTGGATGCTGGAAATCTGAAACAAATATAGAGAGTGCTGGAGAAGTTCAGCATATCTGGTAAAAAAATTCTAAAGAAGAGTCATACCAGATTCAAAATATTAACTGAATCTTTCTATCTCCACAGATACTACCAGAGCTGCTGAGTTTCTCCAGCATTCTCTTTTGTTTGTTTCAATTATTTAGTCATTACTGTTTGTTTGAGTTTGCTGTATTGTACCTCATTGACTATAAGGTAATTTGGGATGACCTGTAGTTGTGCTATCGCAGGTGCAATTCTTCCTATTTCTTCCCATAACTCAAACATTGACACCAACCTTGTGACTCTCTTCTGGACTATGTCCAGCACTTGAACATCACTCTTCTTTGATGCTGACTGTAACATGTGAGAATGTTCCTGGAGTATTTTACCAGAACACTCTGCTAATTTGATCAGTACCTCCTCGATTCATTGAATCACAGATGTCTACAGCACTGAATCAGGCTCTTCGCCCCATTGAGCCAGTCAAACAGAATCCACTATCCCAATCCCAACCATCTATCCCAATCCTCAAAAATGGCCACCTATCCAATCCCTCCTTTGATGCATTTTCTACAACTTAGATTCCATGCAGTTCGCTGAACTATTGCGTTTATTGCTTCCTGGTCTGCATTAGAGTTCAATTTTCATATTTCTAGATATCATTCAGCTTCATCCTTAGCCATTTTAAAACCATTCATGAAATATATGTGTTGACCATATTTTCTTCCTTTGCTTATCTACATTAAATTTTATCTCTTTTTTAATTAATGTTTTGGTAGTTCATTGTTACAAAGGCACTTATTAATAAAACAAAGAACTGTGTATGCAGGAAATCTGAAATGAAAACAGAAATTGCTGAAGAAACTCAACAGGCCTGGCAGCATCTGTGCAGAGAAAACAGAGTTAACATTTCATTTGAAGCATCGTGGAAAAGGCAAATTATTCAAGTTTTGTAAACGTACCTAGAGTGGTTTGTTAAAAGAGGGCATTAAATATTTATTGTGGATGTTGGAGAGCTTTCTTTGAAACAAGATTTTCTAGAACTCTCCTGACCAGTGACAATTGCTTCATTGCTGTAAAACCTGCAGTAACAGTTTTTGAACCCAGTGAGTGGCTTGGAGCAGTTCTTGTTTTAGCTGATTCAGTTAGAGGAAAACTTCCTATGAACAAGTTGCCCAGCTGATATAACCCATTTTAAAAACAAAATGCTCTGCATCAGTTAGGGGTGAAACCTTTGGTCCTTTTAGATCATGAGACAGACGAGCAGAAGTAAACTATTCAGCCCATTGAGTCTGCGTCACCATTCAATGAGATAATGGCTGATCTGATAGTGTTCCATTCTACCCTTGCTGATCCCCTTGCTGATACCTCCCCAAGATTCCATGCATAGTGACCAGTGTCGGCACACCAATCAGGGCATTGACTTCTGGTTCCAGAACTTGTTGCCACACACAGACTGTGGAGGCCTGCACAGCCGTAAAGAAAATTAGAGGGGACACTACCCACAATGGGAAATAACCTTTCCATGTTAACCTGTTAAATCCCCTAAGAATATTATATGTTTCAATGTGTTTCTCTCATTCTTCTAAACTTGAATGAGTACAAGTCCAACCTACTCAACGCCTCCTTATAAGAAAATCACTCCATACCTGGGATTAACCTTGTGAAATGCGTCCCTACTGCCTCCAATGCCAGTATATCATTGCTTATGCAGGAGGACTAAAACTGTTCACAGTATGCAGGTGTGGTCTGACTGGCATTTTGGGCAATTTGAACAAGACATCCCTATTTTTATATTCCATTTCCTTTGAAATGAAGGCCAACAGCCCATTTGCCTTCCATGTTTCCTCTTGAACTTGGATGTTAGCTTTTTGTGATTAACCCACAAGAACGCAACATCTTTCTCTTCTGCAGCATTCCGCAATTTCTCCCATTTAAATAATATTCAGCTCTTCAATTCATCCTGCCAAAGGCCAGAACCTCACATTTCCCCAAATTGTATTCTTTCTGCTAAGTTTTTACCCACACATTCAACCTGTCTTTATGCCTCTGTATGCTTGTTTGTATCGTCTCCACTCCTTGTCTTTTCATGTGTTTTTGTATCATCTCTAACGTTTGCAGTAATACATTCACTTCCATGTTCCAAATCATTAAGACATTGGTCTCAATATCTTGGCCTCAGCACTGATTTCTGTGGCACTCTCCTAGTTACTGGTTGCATCCTGAAAACATCCCCTTTATCCCAACTTTCTGTCTTTTACTGGTTAGCAAATCCTCTATTCATGCTAAAATCTATACCCAACATCGTGAGTTCTTATCTTACTAGTAGTCTTATGTGTGGTACCTTATTAAATTCCTTTTGAAAATCCAAATATATTACTGCTGCTGTTCTTCTTTGTCTATCCTGCTTATTAGTCCTCAAAGAACTGTAATACATTTCTCCAGTTTGACTTCCCCTTCATGAAGCCATGTTGATTCTACTTGATTATATTATGCATTTCTAAATGCTGTATGATTTAGAAATGGACTCTAATATTCATGCAATCACAGATGTTAACTCATTGCCCTATAGTTACCAGTATTTTTGTCTCCCTCTCTTTTTGCATAAGGCATTTACAATGGCAATTTTCCAATCTTCTGGGACTTTACTGGAATCTAAGGATTCTTTGAAGATTACTGTCAGTGCATCTAGTATCATTGTAGCTACTTCCTTCAAAATGCTTCAGTGGAACTCATCAGGTCTAGGGAACTTATTGATCTTTAGCCCCATTGGTTTCACTGGTACTTTTTTCTCTAGTGATAACTATTGTATTTATTTCCTATCCCCTTTAGCCGCTTGGTTATTTAATATTTTGTAAACAGTTCTTGAAATAATACCTCAAGATTATATTTCCTGAACAAGATGTATCTGTAGGATTTCAGACATAACTGTGCCTAACTAAACCACATGATCCACAACATCAGAGCAAAAGATTCCAGAACATTCTACCCTATATCGTCAGAGATAGCAAGAGCTACAGATGCTGGAGTCAGAGTTAATACAGTGTGGAGCTGGAGGAACACAGTAGGTCAGGCAGGCAGGTTCTGAAACATCGACTTTCCTGCTCCTCTGATGCTGCCTGACCTGCTGTGTTCCTCCTACCCTATAGCTTTTTGTCTTCAAGAAGAACCTATTGGCTAAAG